CTTTTGGAGTGTTCCAAATTCCACTCCCATTTTTCTTTGTTGGCAATCTTGAATAAAGGATCAGCTATTTCAGCTAAGTTGTTCAAAAATTTTCTGTAGTAACTGGCCATACCTAGAAACGTTGACAATTCCGCGGCTGATTTTGGTTCCGGCATTTTAACGATCGCCTCGATCTTGTGGTTGGCGTGGATTCCATTGGCGTCGATGTCGTGTCCTAAGAACCTTAGACTTTTTTTGAAAAATAAGCTTTTTGCAAAATTAGGCACTAAGCCATGAGATAGTATTCTTTCAAAAACCTTCTTTATGTTGTTGAAATGAACTTCGTCACTACTTCCCGTTATTAGTAGATCATCAATATAAAATACGACATCTTTCATGTCACTGAAAATTTGATCCATAATTTGTTGAAAAATCGCAGATGAAGTCTTTAACCCAAAAGGAAGTCTGGTAAACCGGTAGTACCCCCTGTGTGTAGATATAGTTAATATGTCTCTGCAGGTTTCGTCGATGGGAATTTGTAGGAACGCATCCTTGAAATCTATCTTGGTGAACTTCTTCCCTTCCTTGAGCTTAGCGATAAGATCGTTTATTCTTGGAAGTGGGTATCTGAAGTCCTCAAGGGCTGGGTTGACAGTGTCTTTGAAGTCGGCACAAACCCTAACGCTCCCATTATCCTTGTAGAGAGCGGTTATCGGACTTGCCCATCGGACATCTGTTACCGGCTCAATGACTCCATCTCCTATCCATCTCGTAAGTTCTCTAGTAACAGCGTCTATCTTTGAATAAGGTAACCGTCTAGGTGGTATGATTTTCGGTTTGGCGTCGTTACGTAGATATATCTTGACATTCCCTTTGTTGATCGGTTTTTTAGTCAGTTTAGATTCGCAATCTTTTATTAATGTCTTTATTTCATCTTCATAGTTAGTATCAATGTTTGCTATAAATTTGTTCAAAATATTACTAAAGGCATTAATCCACATACGTCCCAATAACGCATTTTTATTAGATTTAACGACCAAGGCTTGCAAGTGTTTGGTGATACCTTCGTAGGTTACTTTAACTTGAGTGACGCCAATAATTTTAATTAAGTTTCCATCATAAGCTGTGAGTTGTAGAGTGGACTTTTTAAGATCTTTAATACCTATTTGTTTAGCCATATCATGAGGTATAATTGGGAATTTAGATCCAGTATCGACTTGCATTGTAACGGTAACATCGTTTATTTTTAAGGAAGTCATAAATGCATTGTCATTGAGTTTATGCTCGGTTAAATTGTTGATATTAAAATCACTATCATTATTATTTTGTGTAACATCATTTTTATTTTCCACAATCTCTTCAATATTCATATTGCAATTGTTGCTATTACTTTGGCTCTGATCATGATATTGTATTTGTTTTCTTAGATTATAGTTTTTCCATGTATTGTTTCCACCATCTCTATTATTGTTATGCCAGGCATTATTTCTATCATAATTGTTTGAATTGCTATTATCGTGCCACCTGAAGTTTCTTCCGTTATAGTTTGAATTGTTGTTGTTTTGCCAGGCATTGTTTCTATCATAATTGTTTGCATTATTGTTATTGTGCCACATGGAGTTTCTTCCGTAATAGTGAATTGTTGTTTTTTTGCCAAGTACCTCTACCATAATTGTTTGAATTGTTATAGTAATCTTGCGGTTAATGATGCTTGGTACCTTAAGGTACCATCTATCAAATTTGAATTTTGTTCATTTTTCATTTGGATAGGCACTACCAAATATATTTATAATATATATTTGAAAAATCGTGATTTTTGGAAAGCCTCTATGGCCTAGTAGGCAAGCCCGGGTTCGAATCCCAGGAATGATTATGTTTTTTTTCTTATTCTAACTTGGTGGTTCCATCCTTGGGGGGATGATATATAGAAGGCCGGACTCGACCACGTGATTCCGTATTAATATATTAAATAATAAGGGTCTTATTACATTTTAATAAATTTTGGTCGGTATTTAGCAAATTAGATTGGTATTTAAAATATTTCCATACATTCACTTGGTAGTAAGCATCATTAACCTAATCTTGCCGAGCGTTGTTCCTACCAAAATTGTTTGAATTGTAATTGTTTGAAGATTGATTATTACTAAAATTTCTAGAGTGACCCTCGTTATTTCGGAAATTACTGTTTTGGTAGTTTCTGCTATTTATATCACTTGGCCTAAAATTATTAAGATTCCCCTTACTATTAAAAGTTTTAGAATCATTTTTTAAATCTATAAAATTTTCGTTTTTATCTATATAATTTGTATCGCTAATCTCCGGCTTAATATTGCTGCCATCTAACTCAACTCCTAATTTCATCATCTTATCTAAGCCTTCGTGCTTAGTTTATTTAACTTCTTTCTGATATTATCATTTAAAGAACAAGTAATTAATTTCTCAATCATTCTCGTATCGTTATCAAAATCGCATTTTTTATGAAGTTTTGAAATCCTAAAATAAAAAGTATGGAAGGACTCCTCGGCACCTTGTACCGCTAAGTTAAAGTTCTTTATATTTACATTCATGTCCTCACTTGGAATTATTAGTTTTAATTTACTAAAAACAGTATTAAAGTCTTTTAACTGTGCTTTAGAACATATCGACGTAACTTGGTCTACAATCTCAATTGGTAAGCTACATAGTAGTGTCCTAACTTTAGATGAGTCTGACTCGATATGTCCCTCAAAGTATGTTTCAATTAAGTTAAGATAAGTCTCAGATAATTTTCCTGATAACTTGGGAAATTTAGAAACATATTAGGTGTGTGTAAGAGTTAATTTTTCGTCCATGATAAAATTTTATTTAAATAAAGTAAACTTTCAATTTTTAAAATCGTAAAAGCAAAACATTGTAGCCCATTAAAATCAAATTTAAGTTGTCTAAAAAATTTTAATTTTAATCAAGAGAATGTGGTCCATTAAGTTTCAATATAGTTTGTCTATAAAAATTTTAATTCAAATTCGTAAAGAGGATTTAGTCCACTAAGTTTCAATATAATTTGTCTGTGAAAAATTTAATTCTAATTTATAAAGAGGATTTAGTCCACTAAGTTTTAATTTGATTTATTATCTAGACTTGACTCGTCACAAAGAATTTCATACTACTTTAAGTTATTAAGGAAAATTAAAAATTTTTTATTAATATTCTATAGACTGTCTGTTAAGCATCGCGTAAATTTTTATTTAATAACGTAACATAGGGAAAATTTGCTATACCCTATAAATGTAGTACGTCAAATATATAAAGCGTATAATGTTTGCAAAGATATTTAAGATTTAACATTTAATTTCTAATATTCCGTAATTGCACAAAATATAAAAATGAATTTATTTTCATCAAAAACGTAAGGCTTTCCATTAAGAGACATATAAGTATTGATCATCTCTCGGAGGGTTTTAAAGTAAAAGTGAATTTCATTCGTCCTGTTATTTCGCCATAAGAGAATCTACTGCATCCTCCCATTTCCCTCAACATCTTATCAATAATTATGCAGTGTGGTATGTTAAAAGCTTTGAAACAAAACATCCTAACGTAGAAATTGAAAGATTTTGATGAAAAACTATTTTTTTATCATATTACTCTTTTATTTATATATATATATATATATATTTTTTTTACCTTTTATAATTTTGTAAATTTGGATAAAATTTTGACTATCGAAAAGAAAAGTCAAAAAATTTTATTTGTCCTTTTATCATCTCCAATATCGAACGACGAATTTGATAAGTAATTCCTTTACTTTTTATTTTTACAAAAGAAATCGAAAGAAAAGATTTTTTAAACTTTTATTATATACTTTTTTTTTTAAAAAAAAAAGAAAAACGAAAAACGTACCACCGTAACCGGGGCACCATGAAGTAAGCTATTCAAATTATTTATTTTTTAAAATATTTTATTATTATTCTATATCTAAAAGAACTAAAAATATATCAGTATATATATATAAAAGTTAATTGAAAAATATATAATATAACAAATGTTTACAATCACGTTTAGTGAATAATAAGTAAATTAAAAATAACCAAAGTCGACTATGGTAATTGAAATAGTTAAATTATATCAAACATATCAATTAATAATATAAGATTAACTATTTAAATTTAAGATTAATTATTTAAATTTATTTAAATATATGATCAATCAACATATATCATGAGATTTAAATTTTTTTTAAGATATAGGATTATTATCTATACTTAGAAAATATATGGGTTCATTGCTTAATTGAATAAAGTTTTATATAATATGAATAGCTTCTAATTTTTAAAGGAATTTTCTTTCTTAACTTTAATATTACATATGTTAAAAATATGAAAAACTATTACCTATGCTTGAATTAAGACTGAAGATCCCCAAAATATATCTAATTATAAAAGCTAAACATTGTCTGTTAATAACATATAATTATTAGTTATTACCATTGCTTGTAAAAGCCTGAAGATTGCCGTTTTTAATATATCTGGTGGATGATAATGTTAAAAAGTTAGTTTATATGATAAAAATAAAAGGAATTATTACCCGGATTTCATTTCTTTCTTTTAAAATAATTATAAATCATATTTGGGCGGAATGTTATTAACCAAATATCTGCTCGTTTTAATATCTTTTTAAAATTCTATCGATTTATTATGGCGTATGAGCAAAAAAATAAATATGATCATAGTATTCATTTAATAAATATTTAGACAGTCTTATTAATTTTTAAATGATAAAATTAAATCTATATATTACTAAATAGAATTATAAAAGAAATCGTTCAGGGGGCAGTTCAAGGGGTTAAGATTCCATTAAAAAAAATTATTCTGCTTCAGGGTGCTATTCAAATTTTCAAGGGGCTCGAGCCCCTGCGCTCCCCTCCCCCCACCCTAGTGACGCCACTGATAAATATTTTTTTTTCCCTGTTCGATGCCAATTTAAATTACTAGATTGTAAATCATATAATTTAATTTAAATCATATATCCTTACATCTATCCATGTATATTTTTTAGCCGCAACATACGAAAATGTCAAAACACATAGAATTAAGAGCAAACAAATCATTGATTGATGATGATTTCGAAAAATATCAGTTAACTCTAGATAAAACTCCTACAAACTGTTTGCCATTAGTAAATGGTAATATTATTTCAAGATACAATTATTTTATTCATGATAATCAGGAGTGAATCAAATAATTATATCTGAAAAACAGTATTCCTATCAACATTTTTTAGCTTTTGCCCACCACAATTACTTATTTAGTGATATATGGGTAAGCGGAAGTGTGTATTGGATAAATAAAAATAATCAAATTGAAGGAATACAATATGACCAGGTTTAAATAATATTATAAATTTTCTGACCTAATTATAATATAGAACAATTTAAAGGATGCTAAGAGTCATGTGTATTTTGATATTCCAAAGAATAATTATAATGAATCAAGTAAACTAGGTGGAACCTTAAGTTTTCCCTCACTCTCTTATATATTGTGTTCAGATGGTCATGGAATCATGTATATGTTATATACAGGAGATAGAACATATAAGAAATCTTGGAAAGTATTTGTTTTTAAAATTATTTTTTATTGCAATAGCCTTTAAATAAAAATCAATCTTTTAACCTAGAAAGAACATAGCAAATTTTTATTAATTTTTTAAATATAATTTATGGATTTATTTTATCTAATATGTTAGAACCATATTTTTTTATTTTACCTCACTTCTATTTATATATATTTTTTAAAGCTGATACAAACTTATAAAACATTTTCTCATGGAGATGACATATTAATCAAAGGTAGAAAAAGAAAAATTATAACTGATTATCAACCATCAATTTTGCTAGATTCATTATATAGACATGAGATTGTGACTGATTATAAACAATTATCAGGTTATTATATTTTTCTAATCCATTATAAATAGATATATACTAAATTTTAGATCTGAAATTTGATTTAGACCATGCAATTTGGCCCAAAGCTTAGTCCTCTAATTAAAAAAAATTGGGCTAGGCTTTGGCTTAATAATATTTTAAATATAAAATGAGTTTTTATTTCTTTTATTATGATAAAATGTTAATTAGTATTTTTCTGGGGCTAAACAATTCATGATTTTTTTTTACCTTTATAAAAATGTGTTAAATTTTTAATTCTAAATTCTGGGCATGGGATTAGATAAAATTCTGGTCAGGATTTACCATAAAAATAAATTAAAATTTTGTGTTAAATGTTTTTAAGACTCAGCACTAAAAGTTAATAAAATATTTGGGCCAGTAAGAACCTGTAAAGTTTCTAAGTTGACTATTTTCCTATCCTAAAGATTTAGATGTAGCCAGTTCTATGAAAAGAACCAATTCTTGCAATATATTTATCTACAATTAAAATAATTATAGAAATATTTTCCTTTTTCTCATAACTGGTGAAAATAACATTATATATTCTTTACCCTCGCTAGTTCATTGGTATTTAAAGGCCTCCTACATCAAAATATTTTATATTCTTGGAAATTAATTTTTAGCAAATATTTGCAGTGACTTATCTGTCAGAGAAATTAGAAATTAATTTTTGTATTTTTTAAATAATTTATATTTACTCACACATTTTTATCATTTAATTTTTTATACTACTTTGGATAAATTTAATAGAAGCAATGATTTTTCAAAACCCCAATCTTTGTGATTGATTTGATTTATTTATTTAATATTTTATTAAATCCATTTAGATATAATAACTTAGGTGAAATTTCACCTATAGTTTCCCCAATTTTTATTTTATGTTTTTTTGATCAAATAATCAGGATTTTTATCATAATTAAAAATAAACTTGGTTCATATATCATAATTGTGTTTTGTTTTTGTATATAAGTTCATCTTTGATAATATAGTAATAGCTCAATTCTAGTAATGTTCATTGGAAGGAAATTTTCTTATTGGCTTAAATATATTTAAAATTTTTAATAACTGAAATAAGGAATAGGATTAAAGGTTAAAGAGATATAAAATAAGGTTAATTTTCTCTTCTAAATTTAATTCAATTAATAATATAAATTTATAAAGAAATAATTTAATGAAATATATTGATAATTTTGCAACACCATTTTTTATAATTGTTCATAATCCATAATGCAACATGTATTTAGAAGAAATTACTTCAATCTTTAAAAATAGCATTTAAAATTCTCACAAGATATTGACTCAGTTTGCTAATTTAAATTCAGCAGAGCCCCAAATTATTATATAATATGTCAAATTCGAAATTCTTTTATATATTTAAAAAAAACGACTACAAGATAAAAATAAGATTGCTTCCTTGAAGTTATCTAGCCCACCCAACTCTTTGGACAGTATAGTTATGATAATTAATAGTCTTAGAAAAATTACCTTGTGGCAATACTACATATTTATTATAGAGATGAATGACTTATTCTTGACAATCAATTTTTTAAATGATCTTGTACATCTATATATAAAGTCATTTCTACACAAATAGAGGAAGTCGAAGCATACAAATCAAACTTATCTGACTTTCCTCAAGCATATATTCATATCAGGAAAATCTCTTACGAAACAAAATTATAGAGATTGAACAAATTATAAAAAATATCGGAAATTTTTTGTTGCCGGGAAATACATTACCCTGCTCATATATTTGACCCAAGATATTGCGGATTAAATTTTAAAGACAATGAAGATAAAGTAGTAGACGTTACAAACCGAAATTCTGGATGATACCTAGATTTAGATGCAGTAAGACCAATGAAACAAATTAAATTAATTATATCATACTTGTTTAAATAACATATTAATAGTTTATATATTTTTTGATGAAACGTGAAAAAAAAATCTGACCTAAAAATAATTTTTTTACAGGAAATTTCCCGTTGCTTCCCTGTTTTCCACAAATTTTCCGGGAAATTTCTCTCAATTATAGTTTTCCGGGAAATTTACATTCCTAGATATGACCCATCTAAAGATTATTTTATAGTATCAATATTGGCCGGACATAATATTAGTCAGCAAAAATCTAACCTAACCTTCATAAATTAAAAAAAATTAAATCAAATACAAATATAAAAGATATTAAAATAAAATATAAAATAAATCAAATAAGAATATATTATAAATTATATAAAACATGAAAAAGAATTTTAAAAAAGGTATAACCCTAGAGAGGGGTGAATGCTTAGGAAATTGGCTTGCAGCCTTCAAGAGAAATCTGCTGACTAAGGTAGAATACTTCGCTGGAGTCGCCTGTAATCTGTCTCCTTTTTTTGCCTATGGTTTTAATATAATTAGAGGCCTACCTGTCCTATTTTCTGAGTATTCTCTCTAGGGTGATATGCACCTTTTTAAAAGTTCTTTTTATGTTTTTTTTATAAATTTATATTTGTGTTTTTTAAAATATATTTTATTTTGATATCGTTTATATTTGTATTTTATTTTTATTTTTAAATTTGAATTATAAATTAATAATGAATTTAAAAAATGAGAATACTGATATATTATATCTTTGCTTTTTAAAATAAATATACTACATTCTTTTTTTGATATTGATATCTATTGTAATGTCCTAGACTGGCCTGGGGGCTCGGCTGGCAGTAACATCATCAATAAAATATAACCCATTGCCCAAAAAATAATAATGCTATATTACTTCATCCTTTTTTTTGCCTGATTGAATATAAAATGGGTTAAAAAAGTAGAAGGTGCCAAATATTTACTTTTCATATCATATCATATTTTATAATAAATAGATTAAATCATTAAATTATCATAGTTTTTGCTGAATATTAAAATTTATAGCATAACATGAAATTATAGAATAAAATAGATAATCTTGAGATTGAGATCCCTTCCCTATATGCTTTGCATGAGGGTTGGGCCAAAGAAGTTTGATTTTGCCTTTACCTAATTGATAGTATAGATGGTAGCGGTATTGGCTATAAATAGAGTATCAGGCATCTCTGATCTTTTTAAAAAGACGTAATAATTTTTTATAATATTACCAAAACAAAGAATATTCTAAAATCCTTTGAGAAATTGACCATATTTTTATTTAATAATGGAAATTTTTGTTATTTACTTATTATGTGTTTTTTATAATTAAATTTTAGTGAATATAATTATTACCAATTACATAAAAAAAAATGTTAGGAAGGGACTTCCCACTCCGGGCAAATAATTCCTGGGAGATGTCCCATCCCGAAGAAAATAAACTCTCCATGACGAATGCTTGACCTCTATTATTCTAGAGAGGAGCTAGCCCGTTGTTGCACAGAAAATCGATTTAAAAGGTGCACAAAGTGCATACTATTTTTTGAACAAAAAATGGGAAATCGACTCTTGTTATGGCATGATTTATTGATTTTACGATATTATTTTTTTTTGCGATGCTACGTGAAAACGATGGTATGTTTTAGAAATTAATTAAAAATAATGGCACTACCAGACTACTATTGTGCATACTTTGACTGCTATACTCATTATCAGACTCTTATTCAACTCGGTAAGAAAAACGGATATGAAATAGATACCAACATTTGGATCTGATATATCCGTTGTTAAAGTTGATTATTAAACATTTTGTCAATATCTAATTTTCCATGCAATTTTAATATTTATTTCTTATAAAATACGAACAATTTGTCCATTTATATATTTAATTTTTTTTTGAAAAATAAAATAGCTGGTCATCTTGCCGACCATAATTTCCTAGAATGTATCTCTTTTTGTGTTGAAGAAAGATTTTTGCATGCGCCAGATGATGCATTAGAGACTAGTAACGATATCAACCCATCTACCAAAAAGATGCAATACGATAATTCCGAAAAAGGCGGACCTTTGCCTACTATCAAATTTGTCAAGCAAACGCAATCTAATGACCGATTTGACGATAATATCATCAATACTGAAACCGAAATCATCAGAACAGATGAGGTCCCAGAGGAAGAAGATTCTTTAGATGCACAAAATAATGTGAAAGACCCTGAATTAAATCAGCACGGCTTTGAAGAGGAAATCACTAGAACTCAAGACAATGTAGCTAAAAACATTAGAAACTCCCAAACTCATTTCGTAACTTTGATTGAATGGGATACTTTTATAGAAAGTTAGTATTTGGAAAATAAAGAAAAAATGAATAAAAACTTTCTTTCTTTCTTTCTTTCTTTCTTTCTTTCTTTCTTTCTTTCTTTCTTTCTTTCTTTCTTTCTTTCTTTCTTTCTTTCTTTCTTTCTTTCTTTCTTTCTTTCTTTATTTCTATCTTTCTTTCTATGTTGTTTAATCTATTTACGTATTTTGTAAAAGACGGAAAACCTCTATTATAATTTTATTTAAATCAAAGATATTTATGATTTTAATATTACATTCCTTTAAAAGCAAGTGAACACGTATTTGAATTATTTCGCCAGCGAATTCTCGAAAGTCCTTGTCACGTCAATCACGCTGCTATCGAGAGAAACGGTTTGGCTTTACATATTTTGTCTGACATGCCGTTCAAATTTATCTTCGATTCCGCCAAACGCGGTCCATCGGAAAGTAAGTATATACTATAAAAATAATAAATTGCAATTAAAGAATTTATTTGAATAAATTTAATATTTTTTTTACCCCAGAAATTGTTTTGACAGATACCAAAAAACCAGTGTATTATTGGAGCCAAACGTCCGAAGGTGATCTCGTGATTAAATTAATTGTTCCTGAATCTGTAACGGAATCCGAAATCGATGTTACTATCAATTCCGATAGTATCAAATTATGCCTCATGGATGAAAGTAAATTTATGGAATTCTTATGCAAGTAACTTTATTGTTTTTTTTAGTTATAATTATCATAAATTTAATTTTTTAAAAAAATATTTTTTTACTTGTATAAAATTATACTAAAACAACAATTTTTTTTAAATAATTTTTTTAACGTGAACTAAATTTCATTAAAATTTCCAAGGTTCTAATAAAACTATCCTTCTGGAGGGCGAATTCGTTAACATAAAAGTTGCACCCGAAAAGTCTACCTGGGTATTGGTCAACGATAAAAGGGAGGCTAGTGAAGTTGCCATAACTAAAACATCTGATGGTTTATATATAAAAAAATAAAAATTATATTTTTCATTTGTTTATATATCTTTAATTATTTCATTCATTCTTTATCTCTTATACTTATCAAAGATTAATAGTATCTTTTCCCTCTTGAGTCAAAGCTATGAATATGCCTAAGCTTTATATGTCTATTCAATTCAATTGCGATTTTTTATTATGAATAATTTTTTAAATCAATTTTCTCATTATAATAATCAATTTCCTAGAAATATATACGAATAAATTGTGAATCTATTTAAAAAATAATAAATTCTTTTATCCCTACATTACATCGGAACAATATGATATCAATTTAGAAAGTAAGGTCAAAAATAATTACTTGGTAATTACAATGCCCGCTGACTTATCCGATCAAATACATTCTTGGCCGAATCCGCCTATTAGGTCCTCACTATTCGAGGCGCAAATGGATCCTGAGTATAGTAAACAAGTTTTGGAAGATATAGATTGTCGTCAGTTGGAACAAAATTGCGGAAGCATTTTAGAAGTTTATACATATCCGAATATATTCTGTACATAAATTCTCAGTTTTTAACACTGAATTAAATATGTTTGAACAAAATGAGTAATTTTAGGTTTTAGTGCTTTTTATTTTACTTACTAAATGGTAAATATTTTTTTTAATTAGCTAACTACTAAATAATTAAGCAAATACGCAATAAAATAGATATGACATCATTTGCCTCTTTTCAGTTTTACTAGGCAGGCTTGTTTCATTTCTAATTCACCTTTTCCGGGATCTTGGGAATTGTCATTTGAAGGACCCCCATATATTAAATATCCTTTTCCATCACATCATCAACCTTTTGGTTTCTCAAAATGGCTAGTTTTTACGTTTATCGAATTCTGACATAGTTAAAAATTTACCCAAAACTATATAATTATAAATAATGATTTTTAATATCAAAATAAAAAGTGTATACATTCTGTTTAAAAATTTTTTTTATATGGCGGTTCATTTTAACCCCGTCCTACAGTTTAAAATTCATGTTAAAAATTTTTTAAATTTTTAACCAAATGTCACTAAGGCCTATCTTATATAAAAAAGTGGAATGCCAAGTTTTCTCTTTCATGGACAATCTCAATAAAAACACTAAAAAACAATGGGATTGTCTTTATTCAATAGATAACATGTAATAATTGTTCATCTAAATCGTATTTATATGATATTTTTATAATGGCAAAGAATATATAACACCACCTATTATGCAAAATTTTTAAATTTTATGAGAATTTAAGCTGGGTGGTTCCAAAAATATTTTTGGGTAATATGATATATTACAATGTAATATACTGTTTTAAATATTTTCTTACCAAAAAAATTTATATATTGCATAAATATGTGTTTTTGATTCTTTACTTTAATATTTTATTTAAATTTAGCTTAGTTTTATTAAATATCAAAATTTAGCATAAATATAAAAGCGAAATATAGCCACAATAAATATGGGGTTATTAGGACACATCTTACCACTCCCGTTGATTTTTTTTACTTTTGCATTCAAAATTACAAAGATAACTAAGGATTTAACATTGTCACGTGGTTATATAATTATGATTCTACTTTACCATTCACCACAATATATATATTATAGTCTAATTCTGCTCCCGCCATTCAAATCCTAACAGAGGAAAATAACGTGCCCTTAAGTCAGCCTTACAATGCACAAGAGCTCGAAGAATGTGATTCCTATCCTTCAGACACTAGCCTCATAGCTAGATACGATGGATCAAGCCATGCTATAACTCATCAAGTATAAAAAAATCATCTTAAACATATAAGATTAATTTGATAGGCAAATTCTGAAGAAGTGGCCTTATTTAACAATATTTTATAGATATGGGAAAAACAGTCACTTTTTCTTTTGTAAATAGAGTAATTTTATAAGGTTATAAAATCTATTCTGTTTGGATATCAAGGTGGTAAAAATTATAAATAATTTTCCTTATTATTTAAATGATAAATTATAAGAGGAAACCTCAGTAAAGAACATAAGAGCCTACTTATATGCAATAGTTTTATTGTGAGCTTTTTATGATTTGATTTTTACTAAAATACGAAATTACTTTTATGATTGGATATGGATTATTGGATTTGTATTTCCATTCTGTAGAGTTTTTTTTATAGAACTAACTTAAAAGTCAATGATATAAATGGCCAACTAACCAAACTGATATAATTGACACCGAATTATATATTTGGACTAAATTATTATAATCAGCCGAAGCACAACAATATATATAAAAGTATATTTTATTTTTTTTTAAAAAAGAGGACAAATTTGATAGAATGTGATCAAACTACCCATTTTCTTAATTAAATGTTTTTGTTGATATACTGTAAAAGGCAAGCCTGAGTAGCAACAAATTTCTTTTCACTCTCCAGTCTCAGATCGCAGGCCAATGCCCAGCTTTCGCCTTAAGACATGACGTGCATGCCACCTTTTGGGACATTCACTCGATGTCAGTTAAACACCCACAAGGTAAATAAAGTTTGTTTTAATTTTTTTTTCTTGATTCCTTCCCAATTCTCTTTATTCTCTTTTAGATTACGTTCCTTATATCAACACCTCGTCATTCGAAGCCCTCGGGTACGTCATTGCTTCAAAAGAATCCCGAAAATTTGCCACTGCTTGGGTCGGTTTACCATGTACTTACGCGGCTATTGCCGATTCCACCAATCACATCTTTCTCTATTACAAGCAGACAAATCAAATCGAACAATCGAAGAGAACAGAATCGCAAAGTTTTTTCCCCCCACATATTTGAGAAAATTTTTTCTATACCATGTTGTGAGATGGGGAGATTTTTTTATAAAAAATAATTCTTCTGCAATAAAATTTTATGGAGTTTTAACCCACCAATAAATTTTCCCTGGGGACCAGAAATTTAAATTTTAAAATTATTAAATTTTTTAGACTTATCCTTAAAATTCGAAAATATCATATGACTCCTAAAATTGTAAATTATTTATTTCAAAATAATTTAAACATATTTTTTCATCCTTATCCATTTTTTTTAAAAAATGTTATTTCCTACATTTAAAAAATTATTTTTTTCTATTTGAAAATAATTAATAGTGTCTGCTAGTAACACGCTTAAAAATAGAAAAACTGGTAAGACTTTTGACTTGGATCAACCTCATAATAAGATTGGTGGACATAAATTAGGCGTTCAGAAATTGATAACACTCGAGGCTTCGGGCGGTGATCTGGGGGCTGCCATTTTAGGAATGGTTTGCTTGGGAAATTTACTTGTAGTCCTCGGGAAAGATAGGATCTCGTGTGTGGCCATATAAAATAAATGTTACATTTTAAAGATTATATTTGAAAAATTTATATAGTTGTATTATAATACATTGTTGCTCCATTACTATTATCGGATTTTATTATAATGATGCAGATTTTTTTCTTCTATACTATACATTTTATTATGTATTCTTGACGTTTTTAATATATATAATTTGTATACCCTTGTAAATCATCATTTATTCTTCTCTATCTATATGTAATTTATGTTTTTATGACAGAAAAAATAACAAATATTTTTGATTATTATTTAAGAAATAACAAATATTTTTTGCTTCCTATATAGTTGTATAAAAATTATATGCTCAGAAATACGGATTCTGGCTAAAAATACGCTCACCAGGAAGAATTTAGAAAAAAATAATTTTTTTATAAGATAAAGGCCTGGTCATGTCAATATTTTATTAACGACGTGAATCAACTCTGTAGGACCCTAATGTTTAAAAAAAAATTAAATTTTAAATTTGAAAGCACTTTAATTTTTTTTATAAACAATACAAACTAATCGTAAATGAGTTATGAAAAATCATGTCATATTTGATGCCTTTGACTTAAATAATTTAAAAGTCATAGAGTAAAATGATCTAGTAAGAATGAAATTGGGAACTTTATAATATGTAGAATCTGTCATAATTTTTTATATGTACGTACCTTGATCTAAGATCTACTTATATTATAAAAATATTAAAAGTTTGAAATGCTTTTCAAAATTATCAAAAATCTAAGATTTTTTTGAGAATAGTCAAGAATTTGTGATCAAATTTTACCAATTCCAAATCTCGTATAAAAAATTTTTGATCTTAAAAAAATATCTTCACTAATTTAGGATCTTCGAAGATTTTTAGCTCAAAGTTTTGAAAACTTATTTCAAACTGAAATAAATGAAACTATTTTATTTTATTTGTATTTAATGAGGTAATCTAAATAATGATGTAAGATATATTTTCTTCGAATAAAACAATAGATACTATATACAGTAGAACTGTTTATTTGAGCTTCTGGAAAAAAGCACGAATATGATTGTTTATCGAATGCCATTTTTGAATTTTTTGTGTAGAAAATATTAGCGGTCTGCACAACTGTTGTCTAATTTGAGCCGATTTTAAAAAACAACTAACTCAATATATCCAGAAAAATATTACATAAGCCTAAATATTTTGTTGGTAGGTGGCACAATAGGGGTGGGACCAATATAATATTGGTTTACAATACCAATACCAATATAAACCAATATATATTTAAATATTGGTATTGCTTTTACAACCAATTACCTAAATATATTGGTTTTGATATATTGTTTAAATACAATTTTAACCAATACCAATATTAAAAATAACATAATTATTTAGGTTTATCGTGGATAATTATATCGTGGTATTTTTTTTACTTTCATTGCAAAAACTGATTACATCTGTTATTTCTTCCAAATACTACTGTGATATCAATATTTCTGTTATTTATAATTATAGTTTATTTTTATTATGGAAGTAAATTTTTTACATGATATCTATCAATTTTATCTATTTATTTAGGATATTATAATAAATGAAGACCAAATAGAGTTAATAAATATAGATGCTGTTGGTACTAATAATAATAGCGATAATGAACAAAAAGAATTATCAATATCTAATCAAAGACGAAATTCAGAAAAAATCTGGGAATTTTATACTACTTGTGATAATAAAAAAAAGGCAATTTGTAATAAATGTAAAAAAAAAATATCACTTCTCAATTTTGGAACCTCAGGATTATGGACACATCTTAAATCCATCCACCCAACATTATATAAGAAATGTGAGCAAATAAATATTGGCAGTAAAAAAATTAAGACAATAAAATCATTTTTACTTAATAATATAAATAATAAAGCTAATTTAAATAATTTAATTATAAACTTTTTAATTCAAAATAATTTAGCCTTTTCAATAGTTGAGGATATCACTTTTAAAAATTTAATAGCTTATTGTAACCCTTCACTAACATTAGTTTCTAGAAAAACACTAAAAATAGAAATTATGAAACATTATCATAGTTCTTTTATCAATTTAAAATCTGTACTTTCTAACATTACATCTAAATTTTCCTCAACAATGGACATTTGGTCCTCTCCAAATAAAATACCCTTTGTGGGCATAACAATTCATAATATTGATAATGATTTTAAATTAAATAATCATTTATTAAATTTTATTCCTTTTAAATCAGCACATAATTCTATTAATATTTTTAATTCTGTATTAAAAGTAAAATTTGAAATTGATTTTTTTTGCATTACATTAGACAATGCAAGTAATAATTTAGCATTTCTAAAAATTTTAAAACAAAAAGATAATTTTGATAATGTGTGCAAATGCTTTTGCCATATTATACATTTGGCTGTCATGGCTGCATTGGAACCCTTAAATACAACTTTAAAAAAAATAAAAAATTTTTAAACTTTCTATATCTAATAATAAACTCGAAAAAATATATCTTGAAAAAAATCCACACTTAAAATTTCCTCACCCAATTTTGGATATACCAACACGTTGGAATTCAACATACCAAATGCTTGAAAGAGCAATATTGCTCAAACCCTATTTGACAACATATACCAATCATTTACAAAATACCAATCAAGAAAATTATATTAGTGCCTTAGCCTGGAATAATACCGAGAATTTCTGGAACCATTTAATTTTGCTACAGAGATGGCTTCATGTGCTAATACTCCAACAATTTCAACAATTATTCCTCTATATTCCAGTATTTTTGAGCATGTGGAGAGTTATAATAATAATCCTAATGCTATTTTAAAGACAGCTTCTTTAGCTGCCTTAACAAAACTTAATAAATATTATAATTTTAATAAACACCTATTTATTATTTCAACAATGATTGACCCAAGATTTAAACTATCAAGTCATTTATTAAAGCATAATAATATGTAAACTCTTATTGGATATCTTACTAATGAATACAATATTTATAAAATAAATAATAACAATTCAGCGGAACTTACAAATGAAGCACAAAATAACAAAAAATTGTCCTTTTATGACAAAATTTATCAGGTGAAACCTCATAATAATAACAACTTAGAAATAAGTAAATACGTAGATGAAGCCACAATTTCCAATGATACAAATCCATTAGATTGGTGGAAATTAAATAAAAATAGATATCCAGTATAATCAAAAATTGCCAGAGATTATCTAGCAATTCCGGCCACCTCATCTAGCTCTGAAAGAGCTTTTTCAGAAGGACGGTATGTTATAACAGACCAACGTTGTTCACTAGATGAGCATACTATACAAGCTTGCCTGTGCCTAAAAAGTTGATGCGCATGCAAGATTTATCTTAAATACATAAAAATATTTCCTCTTCTTATATTAAAATTATATCATTCTTTTGCATTATATTTTGTATAAATAGACAGTTATGTTACATTTTTAGTTTACTTATTTTTCTATGTTCTTTGTGATAAATAAAATGGTTCAAAATCAATACGTTTATTATTGTTGATACAAAAAATACATGATTAAATCATAATTTTTTATATTCACATCACCTAATAAATTCCTAGTTTAAAAAAAGAATTTGAATTCAGTAAAATTTTAAGTTGGTTCTTAGCTCTGATTTTATGGTATTATGATTTTTTTTCCCATGTTTATTTAAAATTAGAAATTAAGGGTTTTATAATCACTATTTCTATTCTTTTAATTTGTAATTTGAATTTAAAACAATACCAATATAACCAATAGTTACCAATATAAACCAATACCAATAGCAATACCAATACAAGAAATAGAAAATATTGTTTAATACAATACCAATATTTTAGACCCAATACCAATACCAATACAATATTTTGTTAATATTGGGTTTTTACTATTGGTTCCCAGCCCTAGGCACAAATGTTTGGACATCAAACGAAATCTCTAGACTTAGGCAATATTTTTTGTCTAACATATTGAGTAAACCTTTTCTAAAAATTCATCCGTTTAACAACACTAGCCTGCACGGCAAGAGCCCGTGAGCTGAGTTGACTAAAAATATCTGGGTTAAGAAACTCGAATATTTTTCTCGAATTTTTTAAAATGTTTTCAACCTTTGCCTAATGCAAGTTATTGTTTTTCCTTCACAAAAAATAATTACGATCTGGTTGATAAACCTTTTTAAAAATCTTCATTATGTAAAAAGGATAATCTAAAGGCACAATCATTTTCACTAGTAAAAACCATTTTAATTATATTTGTTTAGATGCTTTCTTTAAATATCTGGAATTTTGTAGTGGGTGCGGAAAAAAATGCGTAGTGGTTTAAGCTTGTACTTCCTATAAAATTTGTGGCTCCAATCGTGTTTTTGAGATAATTAGGAAAACATTCTTTTTTTTATAGAGACTAGGCTGAGTATTCTGTCATGTAGCCGCATGTTATCTTTTAGGGTAGTAAACAAGCAAGTATTTGATAAAATATAGCATTTAAAAATTTATTGAATTATCAAAAAAAATAAGTACTGAAAATTTATATAATTATAATAGAACCGGAAATATCTTAAAACAAGTTTAATTGATATATAATAAATATTTTATATGAGCTCTTTGTAATTAAATATTTTGCACAAATCTTCATAAGTCTTTAAATTAATGTCATCTATCAAGATATCGAAACATAATTATTTCGATTTTTATTTAAAAAACGATAGTCAATTTTAATAAAATAATGTTTTTGTCTTATTAGTAATATTGCGCCATCTATCGAATATATTTACATAATATATTGTAAAAATCTTTGATAGAAAAGAAACTAAATAATTTAATATTTAAAAATAAAACTATTTGCACGGTAATTACCTAATACAAGCAAAAACATATAGGTTTTTTGAGGAGATTTAGAAAACAATTTCAAAAAATATTTTTAAATTTCAATTAAAACCAGAATATAAATATATATTTATATATTATATTATGTTTTTCTATCTCATAATAAATAAAATATTATGCTAATCATAATTATTTTCTTACCCTTAATTCAGGCGCGTATCCAGGAATTTTTCTATGGGAATTTTTCTTTTTAAAAAAGTAAAGGATTATCTAATTCGCTTTATCTTTTTATGTTGTTTTTTTCATAAAAAAATATTACGGAGGTCGGGCTGTACAATTTGTACAAAATTATTTTCGGATCAGGGAACAACAAACATTAACGGAACGTGTCCAAAACCT